TGTAATGTATACTGTTGTTTATCGTTTGTTCTTTTTCTATTTTTGCCATAGCATTGTCAGTTTATTTTCGACTTATGAATTTGAATGTCCCTTTGGTATCCTTTGCCTCTCTTTTTCAGATATATTGATGAATACTGTCACTCAGTAACCCGCTTTTCAGTATGTGCTTATACCTTTTTAGAGACAACAATAGTTAACCAATGTTTAAATCTCATAAATCCATTAAGAAGATACAAAATTAAGGTGAAAAAAAACCAACTGAGGAAATCGCTTGAACTTCAAAAGGAACGAAACCAGTTGCGTCTATAAGGCATATATATATATATATATATATATATATATATATATATATATATATATATATATATATATTATGCATGCCTAACTCGCCATGCAGATCCACATTCAGAAAAAATATAAAGATAGGAAAAAATATCTATCGATTAATTTATAGATGGGACGACTATTATGGTATCTAAAGAACTAAGACCGCGAAAATATGTCGCTAGTGAGTTGAGACACAGACACATCGTCCATTTCAGTCTTTTTTCATCATAACTCTGTTGGGTCAGTTTTTGATAATGATGTTGGTATAAAGTAAACATGCACAAGTGAACGCATTAATGGAGATTTGGATACGCCATATGATTGAGCAGAGGGTTTGTTACTGCTGAGAAATGGGAAGTTGACAATTGTAATTAAGAAATCATCAGGTTTCTCATAAATTCGAGTTTGCATTCGCCCATCTGTGTCGATTCCCAGGAAAGATCAAGATAAGACCTGCTTGATTTGGTGGTAATCTCAACTTCACTTGGATATATGAAACATTTCTAACAAATAAAAACTCGCTGAGCCATTACACGTGTCCATTAATTTATTATAAGGATTTGTGTACAAACTATACATACGTGTAGACATGTTTTGCAAACGAAGTAAATACGAGTCCTTCACATTGTGTATTATTTCATACATTGCTACGAAAGGTTAAAGATTCATGTAACTTTTCAAATTTTGCCAAATCAGTAAAAACACCTACCAATCTTATCATATCATTAAAAAACAATTAAATCTGAATACAGAACAATATGCAGTTTGGAGCAAACCAAAATTGCCCATAAAAATGTGTTCTTATGTGTAGATCGAAGCACTGACTTACCTGCTAAAAACCTTTGCATTATCGAAATAAATTTTTTCATGACATCATGATTAAATGACCTCTCAAACTTCAGATACCAGGCATAATAAAATTACATTAACGGTACCAGTCTTACTGCACCAGATACAAATTTCGACAATTAATGTCTCTTAGGCAATGATCTATGCCAAAATATTTAACAACCCAAAACATAACACATTGTATAAATGTTAAAGAGCTAATAAAACCAATACCGACCAAATGAATAGCCAAACCCGGACACTGAATCAGAGTTATGCATAAGGGTGATAAAAATGTAACCAGCTTTGAAACTTTGATATACGTTCTTGACATATTCCGCAAAACCAAACAAATTTTCTGATTAGGAATATGTTCTAACCAGTATTTCTTCTTTTTTTTTTTTCTTGTGTAAGGCTGGAATTGTCACTGATTTTGCAAAACTTACTATTTTCTATCAAGTATGATATGTTTGTCACGTCACCAAAACAAATTGGCTCATGACGTGAACTCCACGTTATAATATAACTATAATAATAGTATAAATTTGAGAGGATATATTTAGTCATTTATTTATTATTCATTACCATTATATTTTTTCAGAAACCAATCTGATGCAGTTATAGTTGTCATTACAATACCGTTTTCAAAATGAAATGCTTCTGTGTTTATCATTTTTTTTTTACCAAATGTGAAATCTGCTTAAGGAACAAAGGTCGAGTTGTAATATGGCAACAATTGTGTCCATTTCACAACGATCGAGAAACTTTAATGTTACAAGCCAAGCTATTTCTGCAATTTTTGTTATGTTTCGGTTAATACGTATCGTGAATATGACATTAGAGACCAACAGTATTAAAGTACAAACTAGCATAATTAATATTGTTTTCGTCCATAAATGATAAGATTTCAGTTATAAAAAAAGAGGCGGAAGATACCAAGGGGACAATCAAAACTCATCAGTCGAAGAAAAATGACAACGCTATGGCAATAAACGAAAATTATAACTTATGACATGAATATTATGTTTACGAATACGTCCAACCAATTAGTTTTATCTAGTTTTACTATCCCTACTCTTTTTGTATTCATTTGTTTTTTGTATTTCATCGTATAAGCCAATGTTTTACTTTAAAATGTGTTTCAAATAATAGTTACTACAAGATTTTTGATTTTATAAACTAATTATTCCTTTAGGCAAGGGTAGAGGGAAGACCAAGTATAACAGCATTCTATATGAGGCCTGTCACATTCAATTTAACTTTTTTGTTCGTCTTTTGTTAACAAACATTTTATGCAGAAGGGATATGGCAACCTCCCTGATCTTTATTTCCCTCGTAGTTATAAACTTACTGACGGAAATATAAGATATCTTATATAATCTAGTTTTTATAAGATATCTTATAAACTTTATAAGAGATCTCATGTACTTTATAAGATATCTTCTTTAGTTTATAAGATATCTTCTTTAGTTTATAAGATATCTCATATATTTGATAAGATATCTTATAAAGAAAATTTTATGAGATATCTTATAAACTAAATAAGCTATCTTATAAAGTTTATAAGATATCTTGAAGTTAGAATAAACAATAAAACGGCTTGCCATAGAAATAACATTCATGGTACCAATTCTGCTGCACTAAATGCGCATTTCGACAATTCATGTCTCTTCAGTGATGATTGAGACCAAAATAATTGAAAAATTGAAAATCCAAAAACTCATACGAACATTGAAGAAATGATAGAACTAAAAAGGACCTAAAACATAGCCAAAGCCGGACAAGGAATCAGAGCTTTGCAATGAGGGAGATATTTTCCTTAATTTTAAAACATTTCCAAATTTTTATAATAGCAAAATTTCAACCAAACAATATCCATATTTCCATGCTGGTACTGAAGTGCTTGCTACCGGGCTGGCGGAAAACCTCGAGGTCTAAAAGTCCACCATTAAAGGTATCGACCCATTGGTAGTAATAACATTAACGGTACCAATTTTACTGCACCAACTGACGTTTTTCAGTTAAAGTCTCTTTAGTGATTCTCGAGGCTACAATAATTGAGAATTTAAAACTTAATACAAACGTTGGAGAGCTGATAAAACTTAAAACAAAACTAAAGAAAAAACCAGATCCAGACAAAGAATCAGAGCTCTTCCTACTTAGCTGGTGATACCCTTTGGACTAACAGTCCACCAGCAGAGGTATCGACCCAGTGGTACTAATAACATTAAGGGTACCAAATGTGAATTAGTTCCCATTAGTGATGATCGAGGCCAATATGATTGAAAATCCAAAACCTAATACAAACGTTAAAGAACTGATAAGACATAAAAGGACGTAAAGTATAGCCAAATCCCTGTCAAGCAATTAAATATGCGTATGTTCATGCCAGTACCTTACTGGGGTGGTGAATTTTTAATATCCAGCGGAGTTTAAATGTATATATTCGAAAGATTTTTCTAATAAATCTACAAGCATTCATAAATATGAAATTCCGAAAAACAGTTTGCTGTGGAAATCATTTTGGATTGAAATAAACTGTATCTTTTTTTTTTATTTTGGTACGAATAACATCTGAGACCACAATGAAGAAATTTGTTCCTACAAGACAATGCATATAGCTTAACTATCGGCGAAGTTAAGGTGTTTCATGGAAATATCCTACCAATTAATACTCAGTTTTCTAAACACATTAAAACGTTTGCATGATTGATTGTATATTATGTAGTCAAAACGCACATCAATTTACAAACAATTAAGATTTACAAAATTGATTTACAAAATTGTTTATCTATACATGTATACATATTGGCACTGACGAAGGCTATTTGTTCAGCCGAATTATTTGTCAACCCGATTTTATAACATCATCTTCGTATATAACCATCTTATGTAAGCACCGTTGCGCAAATCTTAAGGACTTTTATAATTATATATATATATACAAGTCTAAATTGAAAACATATATATATATATATATATATATATATATATATATATATATATATATACAAGTCTAAATTGAAAACAACGTTCAAACCTATGATTGCGTTGGATAAAAACCGCAATTTTTATACGTGTGCATGTAAAACAAATTTCTTGGTAGAGGGGTCTAAATACAGCACAAACAACATTTTCCAAAGGACCAAAAAAGTGAAAAGTATATTTTAACAAATCACATTTGACTAACAGGTCGAACAACTGATGTTCTTAAACCCTGCTGACTGCCATTGACGATTGCCAAATAAATTGATCACCAGATGTAACATGGATCTTAATTATTAATTTAATACCAAACAGAAAACAATAAACCTGCGGAAAAGATGGTATACCGCAAACGTGAGGTGCAAAAATTTGTACACCATATCCGGAATTCGACAATTAATGTCTCTTCAGTGATGTTAGAAATCGAAACGGTATTTGGAAGGCCATATAATTTGCCTCTATTTAGGATAGACTCTTGAATTTTGAAGATTCGAAATAGGGAGAACGGATTATATAAACCCGAAGGCAAATATAATACAAGCCCAAACGAAAAAATATAAACCATTCTAAATTTAAAACAACGTTCAAACCTATGATTGCGTTGGATAAAAACCGCAATTTTTATACGTGTGCATGCAAAACAAATTTCTTGGCAGAGGGGTCTAAATACAGCACAAACAACATTTTCGAAAAGACCAAAAAAGTGAAAAAGTATATTTAAAAAAAACGCATATATAAATTCATATAATATCTGTCTTTAACTACTTGAAATAGAAATCAACCTCTTTGTACAATGTTTTCCTCTACGAAATGTTTGGGCTACAAGCTGAAAAGAAGCAGTCTAAAAAAATGTGGCTTACCATTTCAATAACAGCCAACTTCCTCTTCAAAGGTTGGTTAAACGTGATCTGTATTTTGTTGTTTGAAAAATGTTAAACTATGTTGCTATCTTAGGATGCGTTATCTGACTGAATGCTGAATTGGATTTTTCATAATATTTTACCGTATGGAAACCAATTATCTGTCATTTCATATTTAGCAAGTTGAAGAAGTGTAGTGATTTTTTGTATTAAGGTCTGATTGAAATGAATTAATAAGGATAATACCAATTTGTAAAAATGTCTTTACGGAAACAAACAATTTATGACAATCGTATGCTGCTGTGTATTCAACTTTTAGCACGCATGATGATTCTGTAAAGTTTGCTGTTTATTGCAGACATTAAATCTATCCTTGTTTTTCTTCTTGGAAAATCATATTGTGCGACTCATTAGTTGTTCAGTACTGTCCATTGTCTGATTGCAATTTTCTGACTAAATGAGTCTCGTGTGTTTAATTTTAAATATAACAAATCCTACCATATATGTACTGTGACGTGTAAAACATTCTTTTAATTCAAAGTTTCTTTAATTGTTTTTGTAAAATTATATATATTTATCTTTAACGGGAAGCTTAATACCAAAATTTATGATAAAAGAGATGATTTTTCATTTCCTATTGTTAATTATCCATTTTTAGATGGTGACGTTCCCTTGTCGCCATCTTACGGTGTTTATATATCTCAACTTGTTCGATTCGCTCGAGTATGTAACAAAGTATTTGATTTCAACGAAGGAAATCTCTGTATTACTGAAAAATTATTACACCAGGGTTTTCGATATCACAAACTGGTCAAAACATTTACTAAATTTTATCATCGGTACAAGGACATCATTCGTAAATATAAATCAACATGCAGACATCTTATACGTTCAGGTATTTCACATCCAATATTTTATGGTAATATTCTTTACAAAGCACAAAAATGTCGGCATTCACCTCAAAAGCTAACCAAACCTTTAAACAGACTTATTCGGAAAGGATATAGTTACGATACTGTTGTCAAGTCATTAAGGATTGCATATTTTGGTATTAATATTGATTCCCTTAGGGTCTTTGCATCGGAAATAAACACATTTATTCTAAAACCAGTTGTTGGCATAATACGGGTTATGTTCTTCTCATATATTTTATGATGGTATGATACTAAACCCCTAACGGGAGGGATTGTACTTGATTTTCATATGATGAAGTTATAATCTTTCAATCAGTTTAATTGAGGTCTGGAGCTGGCATGTCAGTAACTGCTAGTAGTCCTTTGTTCATTTATGTATCATTGTCATTTTGCTTAGTTTCTTTTGTTACCTATTTACTGTGCGTATTGCTATATGTTTCTTTATTCCACATTGGCTAGAGGTATAGGGGGATGGTTGAGATCTCACAAAACATGTTTAACCCCGCTGCATTTTTGCGCCTGTCCCAAGTCAGGAGCCTCTGGCTTTTGTTAGTCTTGTATGTTTTTAAATTTTAGTTCATTTATATGTTTTGGAGTTTAGGGTGACGTCCATTTTCACTGAACTAGTACAAATTTTATTTAGGGGCCAGCTGAGGACCACCTCCGGGTGCGGGATTTTCTCGCTGCGTTGAAGACCCATTGGTGGCCTTCGGCTGTTGTGTGCTCTTTGATCGGGTTGTTGTCTCTTTGACATATTCCCCATTTCCATTCTCAATTTTATTCCCAAATTTTACAGGGCAAATGTATATATATAAGAACAATTACTTTTATTTTATTTGTCCATTAAAATGTCCAACAGTTTAGTTTATGTTATATAGCAAAATATATAAGTTTTCGAATGATATGTTTAATTTCAATTTCGATAGACCAACAAGACGCTCTCTATATGTTATGTGTTGGACCGGATTTTTTTTAATGAAAAAATATTTTCTATTTTAGAGAAGGATTAATTGCGTATCTGGCTATCACATATTAAAAACCCTTCAAATTTGTCATGGACTGATAAAAGATTTAAAAGAGATTGTTATAGTTAAAAATAATAAAAGGCATATTAAGTATCCTTAAATCATAAATATTAATAATATAAGTGAATAAATAAATGAATTATGATACATTACATCAAAGATATACTAATATCTTGCTATTTTGATAGGATTCTAACACCCAGCCACCTCATTAAAGTCAATGTGTGAGTTACATTGATATGATGAACGTGTCATTATTGACAGACAGTTATAAATTCAGGATTTTGAAAATTAGACCTATGATCCGATTCATTATGAGAAAGGAAAGGGGTGTGATTTAAGGTTCCACAATTTTGATGAAAAGGAAGTTAAATTTAGAGCATTCGATTTTTAATATATTACAAAAAGTGTTGTCAAAGTTTAAAAGAGTTGTTAACATATCACTTCAGTTGTAAGCTTAAATGGTGATTTCAGCCATCAATAGGTGTTACATAAACGAAAAAAAAAGAGTCACAAGAAAAAAGCACGGCCTTGTAAAATGCCAAAATATTAGTATCGACAGGATGTAGGACCATACGTGTTCATAAATATATATCAAAACATATAAAGAACAAATAAAATCAGTGTGAGAACCGATAAAGACAACATTCAAACTTAACCATGGTGTCAAATTGAAAAGCTTTAAAATAAGTTTATTCAAAGGATCAATATGTTTACATGGAATGTTTTAAAATCATGGGCTCGATAGACAACATCGCCTCTAAAATTATGATGTGACATCCCGTTTGTAATAAAGTTTCTACAGGTACAAGTTTCAAGATTCAATATTTTATTAAAGTCTCACCACTTGTAGTACATAAAATACAGTCATCATGATATATACATTGTATAAAACAGTAATTTCATGTCATTCTATAAAGAATTATGAGAGACTATAGAAATTAAAATAAAGTATAACTATATATTCATCATGTCTATAAAACATTTCAGTTCTGTAAAAACATATAACTATATTTATCATGTCTATAAAAATATTTCGGTTTTGTAAAAACATAACTATCAATCAAGCATATAAAAAACTATTTCTTCTACTAAAAATATTAAAGCAGATCTCTGCAAGCATATCATAACAATCAGTACTCTTAAAAAGACATATAAACTTATCATTATCAGATACAATATTAAAATCAACATTTAATTTACTTCTTTTAACTTCGTAAAATAAACTTTCATGCAAATCTGCATATAAAGGACAGTCTAATAAAACATGTTTCTCATCTTCAATTTGGTTATTACATTAAAAGCAAACTCTTTCATTTACAGTTTTGTTTTCATATCGACTTGAAATGTTTTTACTCAAATACATCCCTGTTTCAAAAACATCTTTTAACAATTTATAAGTCCGTCATTTTTTTCCAACATTTTGTAACCTATATTCTATAATGCCAATTTACCTTATATTTATCAAATAAAATATCTTCTAACTGTGTTATAACTTCTTTAAGCAACACATTCTCTAAGTAAGGGTATAAATCTAAATTGCATTCTCTAAGTTTTGTCATAACTCTGTTACACCAGTTTTCTTTTTATTAATAACATTTCTAAAAGCCCATTGAAATACTTTATAATTCACTCTATCTGTTGAAATAACACTATATCTAGCCCAATGTCTAAACCACAACTCCACTGCTTAAGACACGGAGGTTTCCAGCCCATATCCCGATTAATGGCGTCACTGGGTGTATATTTACCAAGACCCATAAAAATCCGGATAGCTCTGTGCTGAACAGCATTTTGCATGAAAAATCTCTAGTGCACCAGATGGCTGCACCATAATTTATAACTGACCAGACCAGGCTATCAAAAAGTTTGGTATATGCGTTAAACTAGAAACCTCCATGTGCTCTTTAGAATCAGTAACTCAATGCTCTACTGCTGACCTTGCTACAGCTTTCGCCATCTCATTATAATCAAGAAATTCAGTCATTAATAAGCCGAGATATTGATATTTTGATACAACACGCAATATTGTTTTCCACGAGGTAAAAATATTACATTTGTTTGTTGAACAGAAGGATTTCTAAAATGAACAATCTTTATTTTTTCAAAGTTAACATTCAATAATTTATTTTTGCACCATGTATTAAGAATATTAATTGTAAATCAATTTCGTTTTCAGCAATTAATACAATATCATCTGCATACATTAGAATACCATTTATTCACCATCAATATCAATACCGATATCTTGACATTCGATGTCTGTGACTAAACTATTTATAAAAATATTAAATAATATAGGTGATAAAACACACCCTTGTTTTAAGCCTTAGTTAACATTGAATCACTCAGTCATGTTTCCAGTCAATGTAATTGCACATTCACCATGAGAATAAATCGTTTTAAAAATGTTTTACTGATTCCAAGATCATTTAAATCTCTAAACAATAAACACCTGTTAACTGTATCATAAGCTTTCTTGAAAATTACAAAGACAGCAAAAGTTGACATTTGTTTTAGTTCCCTCGTCTCAATAATGGACATAATTGTACTTAAATGACCAATAGTGTTTCTACTTTTCCGAAAACCATTTTGCTCATCATGTAAAATGTCTCTGTGGTCTAACCAAGTTACCAGTCTATTGTTTAAAATACTACAATACAATTTATAGACACAGGTTCTAAAGTACTTCCCCGGTAAGACAATGGATCCCTGGGATCCGATGTAGAACACTTTGGGATAGGTGTGATTGTCCTTTTACACCACACCGGTGAAATTTACCAAATCTAAAACATATATTTAATAATTTGGGCAAAACATGTAATAATAAATTATTTTAAAACAATTCTACATGTATCAAATCGATTCATGGCGTTTTGCCATTTTTAGCTTGCGTTAATACCTTTAAAACTTCATCAATACTAATTTCAGAATCTAAATCAACATCCAAAATATTATTTGACATTCTATCATTTAATTTTGCGGCTACATCATCACAATTCAAAAGATTTTCATGAGAAGTTTTCCTTTACAGCCAAACTTTGTATATATGAAGACCAATTATGCATAGAGTTTTGTTTATTGAAATCTAAAACGTCACTACAGACACCGGCATAGCAAAAAAGTTTGAAAATAAACACACCGTAAGAATGACCAT